ATTACATGGGGATGGGTAAGAATTACATGGTGGAAAAAGCATCAATACATGGAGGGGGAACATTACATGGAGGGGTGTTTACATTACATGGAAACTCGGGGGTACATTACATGGAGGGGGGTACATTACATTGAGGGGGCACATTACTTGAGGGGATAAACCATTACATGGAGGGGGCACATTACATGGAGGGGGAACATTACATGGAGGGGGGCACATTACATGGAGGAGCACATTACATGGAGGGGGCACATTTGGAGGGGGGAACGATTACATGGAGGGGGCACATTACATGGAGGGGGGTACATTACATGGAGGGGGCACATTACATGGAGGGGGCACATTACATGGAGGGGGCACATTACATGGAGCGGGTACATTACATGGAGGGGGCACATTACATGGAGGGGGGTACATTACATGGAGGGGGTACATTACATGGAGGGGCACATTACATGGAGGGGGGGCACATTACATGGAGGGGGCACATTACATGGAGGGGGCACATTACATGGAGGGGGCACATTACATGGAGGGGCACATTACATGGAGGGGGGCACATTACATGGAGGAGGGGTACATTACATGGAGCAGGGCACATTACATGGAGGGGGCACATTACATGGAGGGGGTACATTACATGGAGGGGGGTACATTACATGGGGGGGCACATTACATGGAGGGGGCACATTACATGGGGCAGGGTACATTACATGGACAGGGGCACATTACATGGGAGGGGGTACATTACATGGAGGGGGCACATTACATGGAGGGGGCACACATTACATGGGACAGGGTACATTACATGGGACATGGAGGGGCACATTACATGGCAGGGGGTACATTACATGGAGGGGGGCCCCATGACATGAGGGGGTACATTACATAGGAGGGGCACATTACATGGTTTGAGTGTGGGTACAGGACACAGGGGGCCCATTACATTGAGGGGGGGTACATTACATGAGTTGTCAGGCACATTACATGGACAGGGCACATTACATGAGGGACAAACACAGAGGCACATTACATGGACAGGGCACATTACATGGGACAGGACACATTACATGGGACAGGGCACATGAGGCACATCACATGGAGGAGGGGCACATCACATGGGGGGGGACACATTACATGGGGACAGGGGCACATTACATGGAGGGGGCACATTACATGGAACAGGTCACATTACATGGGACATTACATGGGGCAGGGTACATTACATGGGGCGGGGCACATTACATGGGGAGGGGCACATTACATGGAGACAGGGCACAGGGAACATTACATGGGACAGGGCACAGGGCACATTACATGGGACAGGGCACAGGGCACATTACATGGGGACAGGACACATTACATGGGACAGGGCACAGGGCACATTACATGGGACAGGGCACATTACATGGGACAGGGCACAGGGGCACATTACATGGGACAGGGCACATTACATGGGACAGGGCACAGGGCACATTACATGGGACAGGGCACAGGGCACATTACAGGGCACAGGGGACAGGGACAGGGCACATTACATGGGACAGGGCACAGGGAACATTACATGGGACGGGACATACTGAATGGGACAGAGCCCTTCCGTGCACGTGTGTCCATGCAATCTATTGTAGCACCCTCCTAGGTAGCTAAACCTTCACTTGTTAGACAGAAGCTGAGGGAGGTCGGGTCCAAGTCAGGGACGAGAGGCTCTGCAGACCAGCTCTCTGAGACTTCCCCCTGCTCTAGAACTTTGGAGAAGGTTCTGGAGGTAGTGGGTGGAGGTGAGCAGGGGCTGATCTGCTTAAACATGGCAGAGCCTACTTGGCGGCAGGAGAGTTTGGGTGGAAGATGGAGAGGAAATGAGAGGCTGGAAAGCAGGAGCCTGGGAGGGGGCCCAGATGGAGAGGGGCTCATGACTTAACCGGCCCCCAGAGCGAGAACCACCTGTGCAGCAGGGAAGGAGCGTCCCAGCTAGAAGCCACTGATCCACCAGCCACAAATGAGAAGGACTGAGGGAGTAGACCTGCACCGCCTGGGCCAGTAGGGGAAAGAGGCACTCTAGTGGATTTACTCTCTGACACTTGGGGGTACTGGAACAATGACACACTGACACTTGGGGGTACTGGAACAATGACACCCTGACACTTGGGGGTACTGGAACAATGACACCCTGACACTGGGGGGTACTGGAGCAATGACACCCTGACACTTGGGGGTCCCAGAACAATGACACCCTGACACTTGGGGGTGCAGAACAATGACACACTGACACTGGGGGGGTCCAGAACAATGACACACTGACTGACACTTGGGGGTCCAGAACAATGACACGCTGACACTTGGGGATCCAGAACAATGACACGCTGACACTTGGGGGTCTAGAACAATGACACGCTGACACTTGGGGGTCTAGAACAATGACACGCTGACACTTGGGGGTCCAGAACAATGACACGCTGACACTTGGGGGTCCCAGAACAATGACACACTGACACTTGGGGGTCCAGAACAATGACACGCTGACACTTGGGGGTCCCAGAACAATGACACACTGACACTTGGGGGTCCAGAACAATGACACCCTGACACTTGGGGGTCCAGAACAATGACACGCTGACACTTGGGGGTCCCAGAATAATGACACGCTGACACTTGGGGGTCCCAGAACAATGACACGCTGACACTTGGGGATCCAGAACAATGACACGCTGACACTTGGGGGTCCAGAACAATGACACCCTGACACTTGGGGGTCCAGAACAATGACACCCTGACACTTGGGGTTCCCAGAACAATGACACCCTGACACTTGGGGGTGCAGAACAATGACACCATGACACTTGGGGGTCCCAGAACATTGACACCCTGACACTTGGGGGTCCTGGGACAATAACACACTGACACTTGGGGGTCCAGAACAATGACACACTGACACTTGGGGGTCCAGAACAATGACACCATGACACTTGGGGGTCCAGAACAAAGACACCATGACACTTGGGGGTCACAGAACAATGACACCCTGACACTTGGGGGTCCAGAACAATGACACACTGACACTTGGGGGTCCCAGAACAATGACACCCTGACACTTGGGGGTCCAGAACAATGACACCCTGACACTTGGGGGTCCAGAACAATGACACCCTGACACTTGGGGGTGCAGAACAATGACACCCTAACACTTGGGGTTCCCAGAACAATGACACCCTAACACTTGGGGGTGCAGAACAATGACACCCTGACACTTGGGGGCCCCAGAACAATGACACCATGACATTTGGGGGTCCCAGAACAATGACACCCTGACACTTGGGGTCCCTTTTTTTAGTTTTTTTTGTTGGGGAGAACAATGACACCCTGACACTTGGGGGTCCAGAACAATGACACCATGACACTTGGGGGTCCCAGAACAATGACACCATGACACTTGGGGGTCCAGCACAATGACACCATGACACTTGGGGGTCCAGAACAATGACACCCTGACACTTGGGGGTCCCAGAACAATGACACCCTGACACTTGGGGTCCAGAACAATGACACCCTGACGCTTTGGGGTCCCGGAACGCAAATCAACCCCTGCTGCAGCCTCTCACCTTTTGATTTCCTACAAAGTTACAATGTACAGTCTGATCCCTGGAGGGGGAGAGACTGTGGAAATGCCTCCTTCTCCTTCTACAAAGTTACAATGTACAGCCTGATCACTGGGGGAGGAGCGACTGAGGAAATGACTCCTCCTCCTTCTACAAAGTTACAATGTACAGTCTGATCCCTGGAGGGGGAGAGACTGTGGAAATGCCTCCTTCTCCTTCTACAAAGTTACAATGTACAGTCTGATCACTGGGGGGGGGGAGACTGAGGAAATGCCTCCTTCTCCTTCTACAAAGTTACAATGTACAGTCTGATCACTGGGGGGGGAGACTGAGGAAATGCCTCCTCCTCCTTCTACAAAGTTACAATGTACAGTCTGATCACTGGGGGGGGGAGACTGAGGAAATGCCTCCTCCTCCTTCTACAAAGTTACAATGTACAGTCTGATCACTGGGGGGGGGGGGGAGACTGAGGAAATGCCTCCTCCTCCTTCTACAAAGTTACAATGTACAGTCTGATCACTGGGGGGGGGGGGGGACTGACTGAGGAAATGCCTCCTCCTCCTTCTACAAAGTTACAATGTACAGTCTGATCCCTGGGGGAGGGGAGACTGAGGAAATGCCTCCTCCTGCCTGATGACATCATCTCAGCCTAGGCGATGTCACAGTCTGGGGCCTCCTAATGGTAATAGGTGGAACTTTCCTGATCCCCGGCATTGTGATAAGTCTTGCAGACAATATTTGTTGCGATTGTGTTCAGCCCCATGAAGGCTCCTGGGAGCTGTCGCCTGACTGTGGCCCACGCAGGGTTAATGCCCTTGGTGTGTCCGGGGGCCCCAGAAATCTCCTGCCTCCCGGAATGTCCCCATGGATGGGCAGATGTGACCCCGGCCAGCCTGGCATGTCCTCCTCGGTGACAGCTGGGATTTTTATGGCTGACGTGTGATGACAGTTGGCGCGGCCGAGCCGCAGTACAGAGCACCGCCGCCACACTCAATGAAATGTATAGCGACAGTGACTTGTCACGTTCCTCATCGATGGCGAGCGTGACCTCACAGCGAGGTGATGGAGGACGCACAAACAGACTCGCCGACTGGTTTTCACGCTGGACTTGATCTGATTTTGCCCCTCCTGGCTCCTCCCCTCATCGACATGAAATATTTAAATAAAACCTTTCCATTTCCATGACATAACTTATTTTAGACCCACTGATGTCATCACTGGGTCTCTGTGATTCTCTACGCAAGGCAGGCAGATCATGGCTGGTGAGGGAGGGGCTGGCAGAGGGCTGTACATAGCTACCTGAGAGCATTACAGCCCCCCCCCCCCCCCGCCTCTGTACTCCACTGAGGTTTGATACAGGCAGTGGGAGGAGTTATGTAAATATCAAGATGCCTTGATGGGTGGGTGCCAAACTGAAGAGGTGGCAGGCGAGATTTGCATACTGACCACCCCTAGGCTACGCCCACATGTGACGCTGAATCTCCACGATTGAAAAAAACTGAGATCCAAAGAATGAAAGGGGCGGAGCCAGGGACTGGCTAGATGGTAGATGGTGGACGTCCCCCAGCCAGAAAATGAGGCGGAGCTCTGTCTGACTGGCTGCAGCTTCTAATGCACATTGTGACACACTCCCAGTGTGCGGTGACATCAGAGGAAGACGTTTCATTCCAGTCCAGGGGAGGAGCCGGTACACCTGTGCAAGACTGGAGGGGAGGAGCCGGTACACCTGTGCAAGACTGGAGGGGAGGAGCCGGTACACCTGTGCAAGACTGGAGGGGAGGAGGGTACAGCTGTGCAAGACTGGAGGGGAGGAGCCGGTACACCTGTGCAAGACTGAAGGGGAGGAGCCGATACACCTGTGCAAGACTGAAGGGGAGGAGCCGGTACACCTGTGCAAGACTGAAGGGGAGGAGTACATCTGTGCAAGACTGAAGGGGAGGAGCTGGTACACCTGTGAAAGACTGAAGGGGAGGAGCCCTCTGCAAGACTAAAGGGGAGGAGCTGGTACACCTGTGCAAGACTGAAGGGGAGGAGCCGGTACACCTGTGCAAGACTGAAGGGGAGGAGCCCTCTGCAAGACTGGAGGGGAGGAGCTGGAACACCTGTGCAAGTCTGGAGGGGAGGAGCCAGTACACCTGTGCAAGATGGAAGGGGAGGAGCAGATACACCTGTGCAAGACAGAAGGGGAGGAGCCGGTACACCTGTGCAAGACTGAAGGGGAGGAGCCGAAACACCTGTGCAAGACTGAAGGGGAGGAGAGCCGGTACACCTGTGCAAGACTGAAGGGGAGGAGCGGTATAACTGTGCAAGAGCTGGTACACCTGTGGGGAGGGGGAGCCGGTACACCTGTGCAAGACTGGAGGGGAGGAGCCGGTACACCTGTGCAAGACTGAAGGGGAGGAGCCGGTAAACCTGTGCAAGACTGAAGGGGAGGAGCCAGTACACCTGTGCAAGACTGAAGGGGAGGAGCCGGTACACCTGTGCAAGACTGAAGGGGAGGAGCCGGTACACCTGTGCAAGGCTGAAGGGGAGGAGCCGAGACACCTCTGCAATGTGGGGATGAGGCCCCTATCCTCATCAATATGGGGTGAAGGTGCTTTGCTGGAGAAGGGTCTCCCCCATGATGAAGGCATGTGACCCCCCCTTTTTTGGCCAACCAGGCTGCATGTACAGATTATGGGCGTGGTATGCACTTTTTTGGGGGGGGGTCTATGCACTTTCCCTCCATTCTCCCTGTTGGATGTGTTACGGTTCATATTGCTGGCAGATGACATTTCATTGCCGAGTTCATTAAAAATAAAACCAGCCCACAGCCCCCCCCCCCGAACACCCCCTGAAATACAATGTCTGCCCTGGAGGGGTCTGTGTGTGTTTTCCGGGAAGGAAATGCCATTTGCTGTCAATTGTAAACACTTTTTCCCTGTATAGATGTCAGCGCTGCTGCAGTACTTTCTGTACATTCCAGAGATGTCCCCATACAAGCAGAATCCAACAGGGATGGTGGGAACCCCTCGTAATGGGCACAGCGCGGGTGTACAGACCCGGGAACTCGGCACAGGGATGGTGGGAACCCCTCGTAATGGGCACAGCGGGCGTACAGACCCGGGAACTCAGCACAGGGATGGTGGGAACCCCTCGTAATGGGCACAGCGGGCGTACAGACCCGGGAACTCAGCACAGGGATGGTGGGAACCCCTCATAATGGGCACAGCGGGCGTACAGACCCAGGGATGGTGGGAACTCAGCACAGGGATGGCACAGGGATGGCGGGAACCCCTCGTAATGGGCACAGCGGGCGTACAGACCCGGGAAACTCAGCACAGGGATGGCGGGAACCCCTCATAATGGGGGTACAGACCCCGGGAACTCAGCGGGATCCCCTCATAATGGGTACAGACCCGGGAACTCAGCACAGGGATGGCGGGAACCCCTCATAATGGGCACAGCGGGAGTACGGACCCGGGAACTCGGCACAGGGATGGTGGGAACCCCTCGTAATGGGCACAGCGGGCGTACGGAACCCGGGGAACGTGGCACAGGGATGGTGGGAACCCCTCATAATGGGCACAGCGGGCGTACAGACCCGGAAATCAGCACAGGGATGGCGGTGAACCCCTCGTAATGGGCACAGCGGGCGTACGGACCCGGGAAACTTCAGCACAGGGGGGCGGGGGGGGGGGCACAGCGGGGCGTACAAGACCCGGGAACTCAGCACAGGCGGGGAACCCCTCATAATGGGCACAGCGGGCGTACAGACCCGGGAACTCAGCACAGGGATGGCGGGAACCCCTCATAATGGGCACAGCGGGCGTACGGACCCGGGAACTCAGGGATGGCGGGCACAGGGATGGCGGGAACCCCTCATAATGGGCACAGCGGGCGTACCCGGGACCCGGGAACTCATGGGCACAGGGATGGACCCGGGAACCCCTCATAATGGGCACAGCGGGCGTACAGACCCGGGAACTCAGCACAGGGATGGCGGGAACCCCTCATAATGGGCACAGCGGGCGTACAGACCCGGGAACTCAGCACAGGGATGGCGGGAACCCCTCATAATGGGCACAGCGGGCGTACAGACCCGGGAACTCGGCACAGGGATGGGGGGAACCCCTCGTAATGGGCACAGCGGGGCGTACAGACCCGGGAACTCGGCACAGGGAAACTGGCACGGGAACCCCTCATAATGGGCACAGCGGGTGTACAGACCCGGGAAGCGCCTACTACCTCATCTACAACACCCGGCCTCTCCGCTCGCTCTGTAAACCAAATTACACCTCTGGATCGGGAACTGTCCACGATTTTTCTTTAACGACCCCCGTCTGGCCGCGCTCCACACCGCGTCTCCCTCTCGCCGCTTCACTTGTATTTATTTTTTTTCAAAAATGGAAACTTGTTAATCTCTCGCAGCCCTTTGAATGGACGTTCTGTCGGAGGGAAAAGAAAATATTTTCCCCGGCCTGCCTGGGAAAACAGGAATGTGTCGGGCGTCAGGAATGATTTAGGCGCAACCAAGCGGGCGGGGAAAACGTTTAGGGTCCGGGGTGTCAGTCGGGGTCATAAAATCGATCGGCGGAGTAGGTGTCAAGATCCATTCATATTTTATACATACAGTGAAGGAAATGTGTATTTGCTCCCCGGCTGATGCTGAATGTTCGCCCCTCACACAGAAATGATCGGTCTAACAATGGAATGTTCGCCCCTCACACAGAAACGATCGGTCTAACAATGGAATGTTCGCCCCACACACAGAAATGATCGGTCTAACAATGGAATGTTCTCCCCTCACACAGAAATGATCGGTCTAACAATGGAATGTTCGCCCCTCACACAGAAATGATCGGTCTAACAATGGAATGTTCTCCCCTCACACAGAAATGATCGGTCTAACAATGGAATGTTCGCCCCTCACACAGAAATGATCGGTCTAACAATGGAATGTTCGGTGTAACACTGAGAGACAGAATACAACAACAAATTCAGCAGAAATGCGTCTAACGAATGATGACGGATCTGCATGTTCATGAGGGAAAGAAGGATTTGATCCCCTTCACAAAACATGACTTAGTACTTGGTGACCAATCCCTTGTTGGCAATCACAGAGGTCAGACGTTTCCTGGAGTTGGCCCCCAGGTTCGCACACATCTCAGGAGGGATTTTGGCCCACTCCTCTTGGCAGATCCTCTCCAAGTCATTAAGGTTTGGTGGCTGACATTTGGCAACTCGAACTTTCAGCTCCTCCACAGATTTTCCATCGGATGAAGGTCTGGAGACTGGCTAGGCCACTCCAGGACCTTAATGTGCTTCTTCTTGAGCCGCTCCTTTGTTGCCTTGGCCGTGTGTTTTGGGTCATTGTCATGCTGGAACACCCATCCACCACCCATTTTCAATGCCCGGGCTGAGGGAAGAAGGTTCTCACCCAAGATTTGAGGGTACATTGCCCCGTCCATTGTCCCTTTGATGCGGTGCAGTTGTCCTGTCCCCTTAGCAGAAAAACACCCCCAAAGCAGAATGTTTCCACCACCATGTTTCACAGTTGGGATGGTGTTCTTGGGGTCATAGGCAGCATTCCTCCTCCTCCAAACACGGTGAGTTGAGTTGATGCCAAAGAGCTGGATTTTGGTCTCCTCTGACCACAACACTTCCCACCAGTCCTCCTCTGCATCATTCAGATGTTCAGTGGCAGACTTCAGACGGGCTGGACATGGGCTTTCTTGAGCAGAGGGACCGTGCGGGCACTGCAGGATTTCAGTCCTTGTCGGCGTAGTGTGTTACCAATTGTTTTCTTGGTGACTGTTGAAATGCATTTTTATTACAAAATATCTGAAAAATATTTTTTAAAAATACATTTAATCTACATTTTTGGAATGCATTTACAATATATGTTAAAATTACATTTTTGTATGTTAAAACAAATCTGAAGAATATATTTTAAAAAATATATTTTTAAAAATATAAAAAAATATTTTTTCTTAAAATATATTTTTAAAAATATGTAAAAATTTTAAAAAATATTTTTCACATATTTTGTAATATATACAGAATGTATTTCAACATGCAGTATATATATATAGTATATACACATACTGCATGTTGAAATATGTTTTGTATATATTACAAAATATGTGAAAAATATTTTTAAAAATATTTTTTTTTAAAATATATTCTTCAGATTTGATATATATATATATATATATATATATATATACACACATATATATATCCATGCTGCCAAACAAGCCTACTTCCTGACCCTCATCAAGGCCCTCTCCTCCAATCCTCGCCGACTCTTCTCCACCTTCAACTCTCTACTCTCTCTCCACCCCCACCTCCACCCAGCACCTCACTCACCACCCTTGAGATTGCCAATCACTTCAAAAACAAGATTGACACAATTCGCAAGGACATCTGCCGCAACTCACACGCCTTCTCAACCCGTCCCCTCTCACACAGCTACCCCCTCATCCCCCCTCCCCCTCGACATAACCCGCAGGGACTTCGTCGCTGCTCAAACTCTCTCCAACCCCCTTCACCCTCACTCTGCTACCCCCTCATCACCCCTCTCCCACGGCCCCACCACTGCTCTGACCTCCTCTCCCACCCCACCCTACATTCCTCATACTAAAGCTCCCCCAACACTCCGCACCTTTGACCTTACTACCATCGAGGAAGTCTCCAAGATCCTCTCTGATGCCCGCCTCACCACCTGCCCCCTCGACCCTATCCCCTCACAACTCCTACGACCTCCCTCCTCCTCCATCCTACGCTCCCTCACCCACATCTTCAATCTCTCCCTCTCCTCAGGCACTTTCCCCTCCCCTCTGAAACATGCACACATCACCCCCATACTTAAAAAGCCCTCCCTGGACCCCAATGACCCGAACAACCTCAGACCCATCTCCCTGCTCCCATTTACATCTAAACTCCTCGAGCGCCTCGTCTCTCACCCAACGCAACTATCCTCCCCTCACCTCCCCAACGACAACGAAACCTCCTCGATGCCCGAAACAGTCCGGCTGCACCGAAACCGCCCTACACTCCACCGAAACGCCCCACCACCGAAACTGCCTTACTCAAACTCTCCAACGACCTGCTAACCGCCAAAGCTAATGGCCACTATTCAGTGCTCCTACTCCTTGACCTCTCTGCGGCCTTCGACACAGTCCACCACCCCCTCCTCCTCAAAAAACTACACTCCCTCGGCCTCAGAGATTCTGCTCTCTCCTGGCTCTCATCCTACCTGTCACAACGCTCCTTCAGCGTTACCTATAATGCCACCACCTCCCCCTCACTCCCCCTCTCTGTTGGGGTCCCTCAAGGCTCTGTCCTTGGGCCCCTCCTCTTCTCCATCTATACCTCCTCCCTTGGCCAACTCATTCACTCTCACGGCTTCAACTACCACCTCTATGCCGACGACACACAAATCTATCTCTCAACCCCCCCCCACCTCACCCCCTCGGTCTCCACCCCCCACCTCACCCCCTTGGTCTCAGCCCGAATCACACACTTAC